CACCGACGCCACGTACCAAGAGTTAGGTCTACGTCTCCATGCCATCATGTGCTAAAACCTAAGGGCTGACCGCAGTCCATTGTCACGGTTCGCGGAGGCCAGATTCAGAAACGGTCTATCTCCACGACAGATCACTGCAGATGAGCCCCTTTGACACTGACGGCATCCTTGTATTGTCCACTGCGTGATACACCCCCATCACCTGGCTGGGCGTGGGGCACTGGTCACGGTAGAGACGATCATCCGGTTATCCGAGTCTTAGCGCGCATTAATTCCCCTATCGCCTCATAGGGCGGGCTTCTGGAGTGTCACACGTTCGAACAATGGACCGCGACGGACGTGGAAATTCGAGGAATCTCGTTGCGTCATGGATAAGGGAATAAATTACACACTATATATGACTTTGAACGGACAGTCGTCGTGTTGGGTGACCCATGGAGACAAAAGAAATCACTGCACGTTTGTAAGCTGGCGGTACTATAAACCCTGTCGAAACTGCCTAAGGCGGCAACCCGTTGTCGAGAAGGAAGAGGCCGTCTTAGACAGTGAGCGTTTTACACAGTCTCATTTCGAGGCAAAAAAGTGGGAAAAGATAAGTGGCTGCTTGTACAGGCGATTGCCTTAGACAAAGAGCCATTCATAACAGCAGGTTCGACTGCATTATAATAATAATACTGTGATTCTTTTTGTATGTCCCACCAAAAAAAATCACTACATTTTAAATTTCTTCTGGGGTTTTTATAAGTGTAGGAAGAAAAAAGCACGGTAACTCCAGGTAGATGATTTCTAACTGAGATATGTACGTGTCGTTCGTTGGTAAAAAAAAAATCAACACTTATAATATCATAACATCTGAAGGAAACTTCGTGTGGTGGATCTTCTTTTTGTGTGTCTTACGGCGCTCGCAACTGCATAAGGTCATATGAGCGCGCGGGACACGTTAAACATTTTCAGTAAGAAATGTTTAATTTCGAGCAGGTGGCGACCGAAGCCTACTCTTATCGATATTGGACCAGCAAGGGATCTTATAATAATATTAACGTGTGCATCTTGCACACGGGACCTCCGAGATTTTTCGCCCTAGTCCGAGAAGGCTAGGTGTAGATATTTCCTTCCCTACCATAAGATCAGGGGTGTGGCTGAAAGACAGCGGTAAGCGAGAGCCAAGGCGTAGCAGTAAAAAGGCTGCAGATTCGAAAGAGTCAGGAGCTCAGACCAGAGGAGGGGGCAAAAAGTCGAGAAGAAAGCAGACGACAGAACATGACTAGAGAGCCGGAAAGGAGGTGAAAGGATACAATTGATTTTAGAGAAGAAAAATGTCCGTCGCTATCCGGATTCGAACCCGGGACCTATCGAATGAGAGTCAAACACCTTAACCTCTTGGCCATGAGAGCCTTCGATAGATCTTCAGCTGATAATTTAAAAATATTAAATGAGAAAAACAAACAAACGAACCCGGTCACATGCGCGAAGCTGCAGCTCTGCTAAATGAAAGGTCAGCACATTGCAGAGGAGCGCCCACGACGAAGAGCACAGCCACAACTAAACACGTACACACTACACACATCACACGCCGTGAAGTACGTGAGTATAACTTACGTTCAGCACACCTGGGAAGCCTTCTGCGCAAGCGGGAAGTGCACGGAACACACCACACAGACCGGCTAGTGATGCACGGACACTTTAAGGAGTCTGAAAGACTTATATCGTGCAGGACTCGAGATTCGAACCCATTCATTGTCAGGAACCTCTCAGGAAGATTTTAAGAAAGTTAATTTTAAGATTTCCTCTCGATCCAGAACCATCGCATGTGTGTGTGTGTGTGTGTGTGTGTGTGTGTGTGTGTGTGTGTGTGTGTGTGTGTGTGTGTGTGTGTGTG